ATAAAAACAGAGAGGTACCTGCCAAAAATGAACAAAAATCGATGTGCAAAACGAATGCTCTGGGGGCCAAACCGCAGTTCCGAGCCCCGAAAACTGCCTATTAAGCACCGAAAGTGGTATTCGACCCACGAAGTGGGTCTCTCAGACCTCAGTGTTCCCTCAAAAGGGAGTAGAAGGAAGTATGCCAAAAATTCAGAACAAACGGAGAATGGTTAGGCAGTCCCGAACCGAAGGCACACGGCCAACGGTCCCGAAAAATCGGAAAACCGGACTCCGAAATGGGGAAATGGCCTTGTGGCCACAAAATGTTAGCCCACGGCCACTGAGAGATGGTCTACGGACCTTCTCCCTCCCTCAAGAAAAGAAACAGAGAAAACCGAGTCTGGTTCGCAAACCGAGACAAGGCACAGAAGAGGGTTCGGAAATTCGGAGGTGGGCTCATGGCCGCGACTCTGAAACTTCTGAACGAGCACATTATGCAACATCATCAGCGCTCAACTGGTGACGTCTGAGTCTTAAGGTCGGTCAAAAATGGGGTGTCTACAGTTGCCCCTCTTTGACAGAATTCGGAAGTCATAAGTGACGGGAGTGAATGTCAAAGCCCAGAAACGACCATTTTTGACAAGGCCGAGACTTAGACAAACGTTACAAGATAAACAGAGGATGTGCCCGCAGGCATGCCCGCAGGCGAGGGGGCAAAATGCAAAACGATATGCACAGAGCCGGAAGTAATTCAATGATCATGCAAAATGCAGTAAGCTGTAATGAGCAAGTATTCGCAAATAGATGCAACAGTTTTAAGCAAGAATGCAAAGCAACAACTACATTCATGCAGTTAGAATGCGGAGGATTATTCAATTCTCGCCACGTTTCACACGGAGAAGATACGATACCTGCGCGATTCGTCTGGTCGCACCAGCCTCAAATGACCGTACATACAAATATCGTGCCTGCAAAAGAGAGAAATTCAACAAGCACAATCATGCTAACAACATGTATTTAATGTGATTCTGAAAGTTTGACACACGCAGTGCCGTGAGTGAATGCATCGCAATGCAAGAGTGGAACATGCGTGACAACGCATGCTCAAGGCATAAAGGTATGCCAATATCAAGAAATGTGCATAAAAATGTAAGTATGCTCATGAGAATGTGTAACAAGCCCGCGGGGGACCTCGCCACAGCTCGGACTCGACTTTTGTCACGGTTCTAAGTCTGAACAAAGAGTCCAAATCCGGCAAATCGTTTTGAGAAAACAGATTTTTTTGAAAGAAGTGCCAAACATGGACTGCTTTGCCAGATACAGAGTCGCCACTTAAATATTTTATTTTGGGAAATTTAGGAACCCTGACTCGTGCCAAGGCCACGTGTCCTCATCACCAAAGTTGCCTCGGCTCAGGGAACTTGGGTACGATTGGGGAAGGTCACTTCGTGAGCACCCCCGCTCGCCCGAGTAAAGATCGGCCTCTACTAACCATGATATCTATTTTGAAAACATTGTGGTTCTTATTCCGGTATTAGCCTAGGTTACTATGTGATGCGCACAGCATACAAGTATAGACGAGTCGCCTGAATTGGAACAAAACATTTCATGTTCGCTTTTTGAAAATGGCATTTGCCTACCCCGCAGTAGGCTTTGAAACATTTGATGATTTATTCCAATTAAATAACCCAACCTTCACCCACAGGCATTCAGGCAGATATATCACATAAGCAATTAGCCTCATGGTAAGCATGCTATTCATGGCAGTCACTCACACGCATGCAAGGATGCTAAAGCATAAAACTTACCGAGTACTCCAAGCCAAAACAGAAATAGTTAGAAATCATGCATGATCCTAAGTATACAAAAATGCCTAATGCAACACATGCAAAAATGCAACTATAGCAGGCTCGGCTATTCTTAACATGGCATATGAATGCTTACAACTATCATATTCAACTTGAAATTGAAAATACAATGCAGTTAGTATGATGCGCCGAGCCCGGTGCATGCAAACAGATGAATGAATGCAAACATGCTATCATACTGTATGCTAATTTAAATATGCCCTAATCTAACCATCATAAGCGGGTAAATAAAAGGGGAGAAAGACGTGGGGTTGGAAGACATACCACACACCACCACACTTATTACAGTTTACCCTCGCGCAGAGGGTCCAAATAAATATACAGTCCGAATATTACAGTCCCAATAAAATATTACAGTCCAAATATACAAAAATCCTAATTATTAACAAATTTAAACTAAGAAAATAAATAAAACTGCATGCAAGCCAGGGACTGCCTTGTTCTGATGGATATGCATGTCCGGTGTGTTGCGCGGAAATCCACGCGATGCCCCCAATTAGCCTCTGTTTCATTGATGCTTGAATGCGTGCCAAGGCCCAAAGTTGCTAATTCTTCGTTTTGCTGAACAGAGAGCAGGAAAGGCATAGCAATGTATTTCACAAAATATATGCATGCTCGATCTCGTGCCACCAATCACGCATATCGAGGCATGATGGCGAGGAGTCGAAATGCAACTCAATATAGAATGAATGCAATGAAAAACAACAAAACCTAACTCCATCATGATAATTCGGAGTGTCGGTGACTGGGAATTGAGACACTTCCGTCACTCGGAAGTACGGAAGTACCTCGTTTCCCGTGCCGCTAACTCCTATTCCGAACACATGCAATATGCATGACATGCATGAATGCAACTAAGATACAATCCTAACATGCACAAAGCTATGAAAATGAGATGCCTCAAAATGCGTGCACACGGGCACGCAAAACGAGAGAAAATACATGAATGCGATCTAAGATACAACCTAGTATGCACTATGCTGTGAAAAATGAGATGTTCTCGAAATGCGTGCACACGGGCACGCAAACCGAGGCGATGGCATACGCAATGCAAATGACATAGAAATGTAACATGGGCTTACACTAACATGAGAGAGCCTCAGCCGCTACTCACATAAGAGGCCGGTGGATGAAAATGAAGTGCTCGAAATGCGTGCACACGGGGCACGCAAAACCGAGGCGATAGGCAGAAATGCGAACCAATGACATGAAACATGATATGGGCTTATACCAACATGAGAGAGAGCCCTCAGCCACACTCACAATAGGATGCCGGTAGATGAAAATGAGGTAGCCTCGAAATGCGTGCACTGGGCACGCAAACCGAGGCGATGGCAAAAATGCGATGCAATGACAGAAACATTGATATGGGCTTATACCAACATGGAGAGAGCCTCAAGCCACACTCACTAGGATGCCGGTAGATGTGAAAATGAGGTGCCTATCTCTCTCAAACAGAGGCTAATTAGGGCATCGCAGTGGATTTCCGTGCAAGCAACCCGAGCATGCATTATCCATCATTCGGAACAGAGTCGAGGCAGTCCTAGCCCTAGCTTGCATGCTAGTTTACTGCTTTCCTAGTTAAATTCGTTATTTAATTTGGATTCTGTACATATTTGAACTGTATTATTTATTTGGGCGGTACTATTTATTTGGGACTGTATATTATTTTATTCGGACCCTCTGCGCGAGGGCAATATTGGAATAAGTGTGCGTGCGTGTGATGTATGTCTTCCAACCCCACGTCTTTCTCCCTTTTATTTACCTACTTATGATGGTTAGATTAGAGCATGTTTCAATTCGCATACAGTATGATAGCATGTTTGCATTCATTCATCTGTCTTGCATGCACCGGGCTCAGCGCATCATACTAACTGCATTGTATTTTCAATTCCAAGTTGAATACATGTTAGCTGTAGCATTACATGTGTCATGTTTAGAATAGCCGAGCCTATCTTAGTTGCATTTTTGCATGTGTTGCATTAGGCATTTCTGTATAGTTAGGATCATGCATGGATTTCTAACATAGCTTCTGTTTTGGCTTGGAGTATTCGGTAAGTTTTTATGCTTTAGCATCCTTGCATGCGTGTGAGTGACTGCCATGAATAGCATGCTTACCATGAGGCCATATGCTTATGTGATATAACTGCCTGAATGCCTGTGGGTGAAGGTTGGGTTATTTGAATTGGAACAATTCATCAAATGTGTGTTTTAAACCCACTAGATAGTGGCAAAATCATGTTTTCTAAGCCCACTTGAGGGTGGCAAATCCATGTCTTAGCCTACTTGCGAGTAGCACCATCAAACTATTTTCAAACAAACAAACATGAAATGTTTTGTTCCAATTCAGGCGATCCAGTCTATACTTGTATGCTGTGCGCATCACATAGTAATCTAGGCTAACAACCGGAATAAGAACATATAATGTCTTCAAAAATAGATATTATGGTTAGTAGAGGCCGATCTTTGATCGGGCGAGTGGGTGTGCTCACGAAGTGACCTTCCCCAATCGTACCCAAGTTCCCGAGCCGAGGCAACTTTGGTGATGACGGACACGTGGCCTTAGGCAAACGAGTCAGGGTTTCCTAAATTTCCCCAAAATAAAACGTTTAGGTGGCGACTCTGTATCTGGCAAAGCAGTCCATGTTTGGCACTTCTTTCAAAATCTGTTTTCTCAAAACGATTTGCCGGATTTGGACTCTTTGGTTCAAACTTAGAACCGTGACAAATTTGAGAGTCCTGAGCTGTAGTGAGCCCAATATCGAACGGAACGGAGACCTCGTTCCTCCCGGGACGTTCGGGGACGTCTACAAGAGACCTTAAGTATCTTACTATTTTTTTAGTGTCCTCTATCCTCTAAATTATTATTATTATTAGTATTATTGTTAGGGACCTTAAAAAAAATTTCCCTAAATAAAATACACATTACCAAATAAATCAAAGAACTTTTAAATGTTTCCAAAGAACAATGTTTCATGCAAGCTAAATATGCATCATCATCATCATCATCAGATAGAGCAGCTATATACCGAACAATTAAAACGGAAACTATACAGTAAACTACATATTTGAAAATATTGTATCTAATTAAATAATAAATAACATATGCAGGAAGAGAAGTAAAGAATACCTTATTTTAATTTTTTTTCCGACTCCACTCATGCCATCACCAATACTTCCAAATAAACCTATTTTATTACAGATGAAAGAAGTAGAAAAGGATTTACTTTGGATTTAGGGAGAAAAAAATATGAAAGCATTTACTCTGGTCTCTGGTCTATGGTCTAGATCCAGAGGTTAAATGATATATACTAATTAAAATAGTGTTTATAAGTAATAAAAAAAAAACGATAATCGAAATATTGAACCTGAGGATCCAGTCCAGATCAAGATGAAGTGAAGAAGAAAAAAAGTATTGCAGATCAAAGCAGTGAAAATCAACTAAGAACATTACCTGAAGATTGAGGCGGCATTTTTCGCCGGAGTAGAGAGAGAACCAACCCTAACCCTTTTGAAATGATGATGAAGCGAATGTAGACAATCAATCGGTGTGATCTATATATGTGTGTACTAGTGAACTGAGCCCGTGAGTGAACATGAGCACGGGCGAACTTGCTATTTTTTTTTTTTTTTTTTTTTTTTTGAGTGTAATGTATTAATTTTTTTAATTGAAAACCCCTTTGTTGAGTTTTTGATTTATTAATCATTTCTTCTTAATTAGAAAACTCCATCGTTATTTGATGGTAAAAAAAGAATGATTTTAAGAATAAAAAATACGTTTTTTGTTTTAAAAAAAAAATTAGTGTGTTATTTATTAATTATTTTTTTAAATTGAAAAATAAAGAAATTTGGATTGAGCCCTTAGAGCTCTCTTAGCTCATTAATTATATAAATTATTTTTACACTTTATGGTGAAGAATTTAAAATATTTTAATAGAAAATATTTTACAATGAAATATTTTCAAGTGTAATGTATTAATTTTTTTAATTGGAAAAACTCCTTTCTTGAGTGGATGATTTATTAATCATTTTTTCTTAATTAGAAAACTCCTTCATTATTTGATGGTAAAAAAGGAATGATTTTAAGAATAAAAAATATATTTTTTGTTTAAAAAAAAATATTAGTGTGTGATCTATTAATTGCTTTTTTAAATTGAAAAATCAATAAATTTGGATTGAGCCCTTAGTGCTCTCTTAGCTCATTAATTATATAAATTATTTTTATACTTTATGGTGAAAAATTAAAAACTCCTTTCTTGAGTGGATGATTGATTAATCATTTTTTCTTAATTAGAAAACTCCTTCATTATTTGATGGTAAAAAAGGAATGATTTTAAGAATAAAAATACATTTTTTGTTTAAAAAAAATATTAGTGTGTGATCTGTTAATTATTTTTTTAAATTGAAAAATCAAGAAATTTGGATTGAGCCCTTAGAGCTCTCTTAGCTCATTAATTATATAAATTATTTTTATACTTTATGGTGAAGAATTTAAAATATTTTACGGTGAAATATTTTCGAGTTAGCTCATTAATTATATAAATTATCACTTTATGGTGAAGAATTTAAAATATTTTAATAGAAAATATTTTACGATGAAATATTTTTTAGCGTAATGTATTAATTTTTTTAATTGAAAAACTCCTTTTTTGAGTGTATGATTTATTAATCATTTTTTCTTAATTTAAAAACTCCTTCATTATTTGATGGTAAAAAAGGAATGATTTTAAGAATAAAAAATACATTTCTTGTTTAAAAAAAATATTAGTGTGTGATCTATTAATTATTTTTTAAAATTAAAAAATCAAGAAATTTGGATTGAGCCCTTAGAGCTCTCTTAGCTCATCTCACTAAAAGCTTCTTTTCCTTATATAACATACTAGCCTATGATCCGTGCTGTGCACAGGATAATTATAGATATTTATATTTGTTTTAGATTTTTTTTTAATATATAAATTATGTTTTTTAAGATTTTTTATAAAAATAATTTAACAATCTTAACATTAACCATAGTGTATGGGAGAAGTTGAAAAGGGTACCGCAGTAATTATGCATGGGTTATATCTATAATTATTTGAATGAGAGGATTTTAAATACTGATCATGAGATTTTGACCAAATCAATAAATGTAGTCATGTGGAAAGACATGTGGATTGAAAAAAGTCAATAAATGCTGATTAGGAGATTATGTGGAAAGACATGTGGATTGAAAAAAGTCAATAAATGCTGATTAGGAGATTTTGACTAAATCAATAAATGCTGAGGGTTTTTTTTTTTTTAATAAAAAATTTAGAAAATTCAGATTAGGATATTAAATTTTATATTGATAGATAGGTAGATAGGTAGATAGATAGATGAGCCACATGGGCTAATCATATAAAACCCAAAGATTAAATTCATATACAGATCTAATAACTAAAACCAAAAACATTACTGAGTAGATCCCAAAAAGTCGAAATCAAAAAGTAACATAATTTGTTTTCACCATTTATATAGAATGATCCATAACATCACAACCATAATAATAATTACACAATTAAACGATTTGAAAACTCGTACCAATCCAACTCTAACCAAGACACGAACCCACAAATATACTAAGATAATTACCAAACTAGACCAAAAAAGAAAGTACGAATTGAATTTGACTCCACTCGACTCATTACACAGCCACTCACCAATTGACTTATGTGGCACATAGTGAATGGTTGCCCATAAATTTTTGAATTACGGGACAGTCATAAAGAAGATAACCTCTATTTATTAACCTACTTATATGAAGGAATCATATGCAAATACTCGAGCAGTCTATATGATTGCCTCTCTAATTGGTTTAGGAATCTCACCCCAACATGTCACTCCCTGCAACGGTGCCCTCAATCGAATCTCTGCATCAAGCTCATTTGCCAACTTAGTGGAATTACATACTATTGCACATCCTTTATTTGTAAGCACCTCAACAAGTAGTTTTTGGCCACCATTGTTGGCCATAATTTTCGAAGTATTCTTTCCTCAAGTCTGACCACGAACCCATCTATTATCACCTGATAAAACCACGAAATTTTGTTAGAAGGCAACATATGAAACACCTTAAAATATGATGACTACATAAAATTTTATACTTCATTATTGCAACTTACCTATATTTCACTCTGTATGAGAAGTATCTTTAGATGATAAAGGCACATCTGATCTAGACATTGATGGACAATGTTTGGAAGGACGTCCTAGGATCATATCTGTAATATGACATAATAAAACGTAATAACTTAGCAGTAAATAACTAAAGCATAACAAAATTTTGTTAGAAGCCAACATATAGAATTGGGGATAAGACAACCACCAAATGTTCAGGTGCAAAATAGAAATTTTATATAGAAAGGAGCATCAATCGGACTTGAAACTAAATTTAAAACAATGACAAGGGCAGCAAAAGAAAACAAAATAAAAGGAAAAGGATAGGAAAAGAAAAAAGCATCAAAACAAGCACAAAAAAGCAAAAACAAAAGGACAGCCAAAAAAGGGGACAACTGACTTCACCAAGGGCTTCATCCCCTTATAATCTAATCCATCTCCGCAGCATTCTTCACCCAGAATGGGACCTCACAGCATTCTTCACCCCCTTGAATCTGTTTACTTAAAAAAATATATCTAATTACATGTTTGAATTTCACCCTAGGGAATTTCAATTACATGTTTGAAATTTATCTATTTGGATTTAAACAGATTCATTTAATAGTTCACATACAATACATATGTATCTAATTACTTCAATCAGGAAGTAAATACTATCCTATTGAACCACGTTAGAAGAGCAACAATATAGGGGAAAAAAAACTTCAATACTATTTGTAAAAAATATATTTATGAAAAAAGGAAAAAATGGAGAAATATGGGTATTAAATTATTGACCATGTTGTCATTATGTTCTTTTTTTTTTTCTTTTTTTTCTTTTTTCTTTTTTTTTCCTTGTGTTTTTTGTGATAGTGTTCTTTTGCTCTTTTAAGTTTCACACATTGTCACATGGGGCAGAGTGTGAGCAAACATGAATATAATTTTGGTATGTACAAG